ATTATTGCATCAATAAGCTACTGCTGCATAACAAGCCATTATAAAATAAATGGTTTACGATAATGTTTTTTTTTTCTATCACATAGTAGTCTATTTTGGGGAAGTATTCTGATCTCTTCTGGTCCCCCCTTATGTCTTTAGTCAGAGTCACTTGAAGGTGCTCTGCTGAGTTCTACATTTGGAGAAGTTCTGTCTGTAGGGTGATCTTGAATCTCTGTTGTTGGTCCAACTGGGCTCTGCTCAATATGGTACATTATCTTGTGGCAGGTTACATTGGACTTATTCTCCTGGCACAGTTATAAGAGCAAATGCTGGATTATCTATTATATTCCATTTGTCTACACTTTTTTTTTCTGTTGGCTAGTTGTTTTTTAAATTTTACTTGTTTATTATTTTCATTTAATCATTGCACACTTTCACAACTTACAATATGGTTTTCAAAGCATGTATGCAGTGCATATCAATCAAGTCTAAGATATTACCATATATATCATTTTCAACCAATGGCTTTACATTCTTGTATGTTAACTTTCTTTTCTCTAGACCCTCTCTGCCAACCCCTCCTGTCCACCCTCTCCTATACAGTATCTGGTATCTGTACTTGCCCGGCCTACTATTATATCTTTGAATATTTCAATTTTTGACAATGAGTGTAGTGATTTGGTATACATTTAGTGGGGACAGGCAATGTTTTTCCTTCATAGTTTGGCTTGCTTCACTGAATATTAAATCTTCTGTGTTCATCAACTCTGTATCAAATGACAGGGTCTCATTTGTTTTTATGGATGAGTACTATTCTATAGTGCATATGTGCTACATTTTTTAATACAGTAATCCATTTTTTGGCACTTAGGTTGATTCCATGTCCTAAAAATGGAAAATAATGCTGTAATAAACATGAATGTTCAAGAGTCTTTCTGACTGAGTGTGTTTCTATTCTTTGGGTAAATACCTAAGGGCAGTATTAATACATATTTGTTTTTATGCAAAGACCCATATTGTTTTTGTTAACTATACCTTTGGAATATAATTCAAAGTGCTTATAATTTTTATTTTTATTTCTCAGTATTGCTTTGGCTATCTAATGGTATTTCTTCTCTCTCTCTCTGGTTCTGGTAGGATTTTTAAAAATTATTTTTGGCTCTGCCTGGTGGCATTGTCAATAGCAAACTGTGGGTGCATGTGTAATTGTCCAAGATCCCAGTGAACTGCAAGGTTTTGGAAAGGGGATCTTATGTGACTAGATCTTGTCGAGGTGCTTCTTTCTCTAATACACTGACATGTGCTATCATAAAGAAAAAAATATATATTCTTAAAAAAAGATTTGTTTGGTTTATATTTCTGCTTAAAATGTTGGCATTGTGATAGGATTATATTGTGTCTGTATAGGGGTCTTTAAGAGTTCATGGAATATGTGTACTATGAAAAACTATATGTGGGTTTCAATAGTCAGCAATTTGAACTCATATTTTACTCATATTTTCTACAACTTTTTTTTTTTAGGGTGCATGCACTCACCAGAGAGAGAAATCATTCCCACCCCAGAATGGCCACACCACAATTTCTTCTCCTCAGTTCTCCTCCAGATATTTTGGGCACACACACACATGTGCCCCCCATGCCCAGGGCTCAAACTGTGGTCAGTTATGTGGGATCCAGTGCCTTAACTACCACCTTCTGGCCCCTCCACGAACTTTCTTAAGTTCCTTTGCATTTATATTTTTTAAAAATCTGAAAAACGTCAAGTGTTAGCAATAGAGAAATGAATTAAAAAGAAAACTAGAGTATACTTATGCAATGAAATATTACCCAATGATAAAAAGGGAAAAAAATGACACACAAAACAGTATGAATGTCTCTTAAAATAACTGGGTGGAGGACCAGCAGGTGATGTACTGGTTAAGGTGCTGGATTCTCACATGGCTGATCACAGTTCAAGTCCCAGGCCCAGAGGCTTGAAAATCACACTTGACTTATATGCATGCATGCTCAAAATCCTAAGAGAAGAAGGGAGGAGAAGAGATTGCAGTATGACCATCACCTCTGGGGGGTGATTTCTCACCTTTTCTCTTTCTCTCATCTCTCTCAGTGAGTGCACACACCCTATGGGAAAAAAAAAACTTACAAAAATGGACAAATAACTGCATTGAGTGATGGAAGTCAGACCAATATTTTAAAAAGAATTATATATGCCATGATTCCATTTACATGTTGGGATTTGATAGAACTGAGAGACTATTTTTTATGTATCAATTATTTTAAATAACACTATGTTTTCATTTTTTTAATTTCATTTTCTTCCATATATTCAATCACATTATTATTTGTCTTACAAAATGGATATTTCAACTGGTGAACATTTCTCCCTAGTACTGTTGATAAAACTACAAAATATCTTCAACAGATAATACCACACCTCTTTGTGCCATTAATGCTTTTCCTCCCTGTCCCTCCCCCAAATAACAGTATTGATCCCTAATATCTTCCAGAAATTGTTACACTATATACTTACATTTTTAAATTTTTAAATAAAATAAGATTCTTAAAAATCCAAACTGATACATAGTGAGAGAAAGCAATTTAATGACTGCCTGAGTAATATGTCAAAAGATGAGAGAACAACTAAATGACAGCTCTTTTGTCATACAAGCATCAAACTATTAAATGTTTTGGGGAAAGCATCATGAAGCTAAGGAGAATAACAAGTGTTTTTTTTTTTTTTTTCTTGTTAAGATTTTTTGACATAGGGTATGTGCACTTGCTGGAGAGAGATGGAGGGAAAATGAGAAACCATCCCTCTAGAGGGGATGGCCATGACACAATCCCTTCTCCTCCATTCTCCTCTCAGGATTCAGGATACATATGTACACATGCCTGGCATAATTTTTAAGCCCCCATGGTTGGCCATCTGGGAGTCCAGTGCCTTAAATACCATGCCATCTGCTCTCCCCACAGCCATGATTTTTACCAAAAGAACACAGTTCTCTCTTATTAGAGAGGGGGTTAGCAATTTTCTGGAGATATCAGTGGGTATGTCCCTATCACAACTCAATCATTTGAAGATTCAAGGGACCTAGTCAAGATGGATTCCTCATTCTTAGATTTGGAAAAAAATGTCTCAGGATTGAAGTAAGGTATTACAAAGTTAAACTTCTGGAATGGTAGAGTTAATGTTGAAGGGCTGTTAAGGACTAAATTATCTTGATTTTTTTTTTTTAACCTGGTCTCTTGAGAACAAAGATCTGGAGGAAAAATTTAACTTCCTGCACATGTCTCCCAGGGAATGTACTCAGGGTTTAGAGTACCAAGAGGAAAATGTGCTTAATAAGCAGAGATCAAGACCTATAATTATCTCCTCCAAGGTTGTCCCTCAGTATTTGCAAACAGGCTGGACAGAACATGGTTGATTCTTTCACTATCCTATGTCTGTCTCAAGAACTGATGCTTCACTACTGCTGGTTTTTCTCGAGGCAAAGATTCCACTTTCATCTACAACCTTCCGGGAAGGAAGCTACAATTTCACACAGAGACTTTGTTCTCAGAGACCCTGTTTAGGTGAAAGAGAATCCAGTGAAATGACAGTAAAGAAATATAAAAGGTAATAGATTTATAATAGAATTAAGAAAGCATATCAGACCAGGGGTTGACCAGAGATTCTGAAAAACATCTAAAAGACTGAAACCATAAGGAGTTATTTTGACAGATGAAATAGTGGGGGAATTTCATAGCTCACAACACAGAAGAAAGCAGAAGGGGAAGATACATGTTTAAAAATAAAACACTATAACTTATAAATACAACTAATATATGTAAGTTATAAATTACAGTGAAATTATTTTTAATTCTGTAATTTTTGCTTTATAAAAATAAAAATTAAAAAGGCAAGCTCTGACACAAATCAGTATGCCAGCTTCTAAATTTGTTACTGGACTGATGGTTATGAATGAGATTTTATATTGTTTTCTTAAAATATAACTGAGTTTGACAATATACATATTTGATCAAGATATTAATTTAATTGTGTTTATTGTGTGCCAATTTTATACAGTTGTTAGCATTTCAAGTATTTTTAACCAATTATAATTTTTAAAATTGAATTTTGGAGGATTTTTTTTGGTCATATAATATTTAAAATTTTATGTAATAAATGTCTAACTTCTTTTTTTATTTTAAAGTTTTTACCATAAGGCATGTGCACTTGCCAGAGAGAGACAGAGACAAAGAGAGAATATGAGAAATCACCCCACAGGGAAGTTGGCCAGGATGCAATCTGTTCCCCTCCATCCTCCTCTTGAGATTTTGGGCATGCGCATACACATTCCTAGTGTGATTTTCAAGCCACCAAGTCTGAGACTTGAACTGCAGTTGACCATGTGGGAATCCAGCTGCCTTAACCACTATACCATCTGCTGACCTTCCATCTGCTGACCTTCCATCTGCTAGCCATCTATTTGTTGTTCAGTATTGTCATATGGTCTAGAAAGTACCTAGAACGTGGTCAAACTTCAATTTATACTTCTCAAATGTATAAAAGAATTTCTCATTATGATTATGAACTATATGATCTCTTGAGGATAGCTTGAGAGTCAGAAAATAATTCCTAATCAAAGATGACACAAGAATCATCTAAGGGGAACCAGATCCATACACAAAACTTAGGAACTAGTTTCTTGACTATAAAGTAAACATGATAGCATTCTGACATATGAGTAAAATATGAGTAATACATGTTCATGTCATGTTCTCTTTCTTTCTTCTTTCTTTCTTTCTTTCTTTCTTTCTTTCTTTCTTTCTTTCTTTCTTTCTTTCTTTCTTCTTTTTCTTTCTTTCTTTCTTTCTTTTTTTCTTACAGTTACTTCAACCATATGGAACCAGGGAATGATACACAAATTATGGAATTTCTTCTTTTGGGATTTTCAGAAAAACCAGAGTTACAACCCTTCTTTTTTGGGCTATCTTTCTTTCTTTCTTTCTTTTTTTCTTACAGTTACTTCAACCATATGGAACCAGGGAATGATACACAAATTATGGAATTTCTTCTTTTGGGATTTTCAGAAAAACCAGAGTTACAACCCTTCTTTTTTGGGCTATTCCTGTCTATGTACCTGGTCACCATGATTGGAAACCTGCTCTTCATCCTGGCCATCATCTCAGACTCTCACCTGCACACACCCATGTACTTCTTCCTCTCCAACCTGTCCTTTTCTGACATCTGCCTCACCTCCACCACCGTCCCAAAGATGCTGGTGAACATCCAGATGCAGACCAAGATCATCACCTATGCAGGCTGCATCACTCAGATGTGTGTCTTCATACTTTTTGCAGGATTGGAAAACTTCCTTTTGGCTGTGATGGCCTATGACCGGTATGTGGCCATCTGTCACCCCCTGCACTACACTGTCATCATGAACCCCCAGCTCTGTGGACTGCTAGTTCTAGTATCCTGGATCTTAAGTGTCCTACATTCCTTCTTGCAAAGCTCAATGGTGTTGCGTCTATCCTTCTGTACACACTTCGAAATCCCCCACTTTTTCTGTGAACTTAACCAGGTGGTCCAACTTGCCTGCTCTGACACCTTTCCTAATGACATGGTGATGTATTTTACATCAGTGCTGCTGGGTGGTGGTCCTCTTGCTGGGATCCTTTACTCTTACTCTAAGATAGTTTCCTCCATTTGTGCAATCTCATCAGCTCATGGCAAGTACAAAGCATTTTCCACCTGTGTTTCTCACCTCTCAGTTGTCTCCTTATTTTATTGTTCAATCCTTGGTGTGTATCTTAATGCTGCCAGTACTCATACCTCACACTCAAGTGCAACAGCCTCAGTGATGTATGCTGTGGTCACGCCCATGCTGAATCCCTTCATCTACAGTCTGAGAAATAAAGACATAAAGAGGGCTCTGAGAAGATATTTGGGAGGGAATCTATAATAATTGTTTTGTAAGAAGTGTCAATGATGGCAATACCTTAAGCCTCAAAGCCAGGTATCATGATTGTTTAATCAGATCATGGGGTTCATGATTCCAAATTTGTTTTTCTCTCTTTCATTTTTTACATTCAATCTATATCATTAGAATATGCCAAATGATTTTTCTATAACTAATACACTGTATATTAGTTCAATCAAAGATATTACCATACATATTATTATCAACAGATAATTTTCCACTTTTTAAAAAAATGTTTGCTTCCTTCTTTTCCCCTTTGATTCCATTCCTCTTACCCTCCCCCATTCCACCTTCCTCCAACACTGCCTCTAGTATCTGTAGTTGATATCCATGCCTTTATATCTTCCAGTATTTCAGTTTCTGCCATAGAATGCAGACATTCAGTGTATTTTGAGTGGCCTCCCTTTCATAGTCTGGCTTGCTTCACTTGGCATTAAATCTTCCATATTCATCCACTTTCTATCAAATGCTAGGGTATCATTCTTTTTTCATGGTTGAGTAGTATTCCACAGTGTTTATGTGCCACTCTTTTTTTTTTCCATTCATCTGTTTATAGGTATTTAGGTTGGTTGTATGTCTTATCAGTTATGAATAATGTCACAATAATGTATACTTTCAAATTTTGAAGGAGCTTTTTGAGCTCTATCAAAAGTTTCTGCTAAACCCTTCACAGTTAACTTTCCTGAAGGTTTTTTTTTTCTCTTCTGTATTTCCATTTCTCTTGCTCCTTGGTCAGCTATGCATTTCTTTTCCAGTTCCAGCAACTGCTTTTCAGTTCCTCAGGAACCACATCTAGAAGCTTCCCAATATTATTCTCATCCACACTCAGGTTAAATTTATTTGTCATCTCAGCTTTTAAAAAATTTTTATTATTATTATCATTAATTATCATTATTATTATTATTTTTATTTTCTTTTAACATTGAGTGCACACACTCAATGAGAGAGACAGAGAAAGAAAGAGTGAAATCACTCCCCAAGGGCAAGTCACACCATAATCCCTTCTCCTCCATTCACCTCTCAGGATTTTGGGCATGCATTTACACACACTCGATGTGTTTTTTCAAGCCACTATGTCTGGGACTGAAACCATAGTCAACCATGTAGGCATCCCGCATCTTAACCACTACACTACTGGCTGGACCCTGATCATAGGGTTTCCAAGCTGGTACTAATAATTATTGGAAGCTGTTGGGGTAATTCTAGGAAGAGATGATATTTGAAATACACACACACAAAAAAAGACAAAAAGAAATTAAAAGAGAAGAAAAACTGAGGCATAATGTCCATTGTGAATGTCCTAAACGTGGGAGTTGTGGAGACATAGGAGCCACTGGAGACTTCAAGGTAACTAGGAGGGACAGCATGCTATAATGTACAAGGATCCCTACCACTCAGCTTTTTCCTTTTTTTTCTTTCTATTTTCTTTTCTTTTCTTTTCTTTTCTTTTCTTTTCTTTTCTTTTCTTTTCTTTTCTTATTTGCTATAGGGGTGTGTGCTCACTGAAGAGACACAGAGAAATAGAGAGACAAAAAGTGAAAAACCACCTTCCAAGGGGATGGCCATGCCATAATCCCTTCCCCTCCATTCTCTCTCAGAATTTTGGGCATGCATGCACCAAAAAAAAAAAAAAAAATGTGCCCAGCATGAGTTTCAAGCCACCCCAGGTCTGGCACTTAAATCACAGTCAACCATGTAGGAATCCAGTGCCTCAACCACTGCACCACCTGTTGGCCTTTCCTTTTACCTTTTTAGTGCACAAACATGCCCCATGATTCTGGCTGCTGGGCCCATGTTTGGAGAACTGCATGAAGACCCTGTTGGGTTGACTTAGCTTATTGTGTGGTAGTTAAGGTAACTGTATCCCACATAGCCACTGTGCAGTTCAAGTCCCAGACCAAGTGACTTGAGGAACACACTAAGCACATGTGCATGTGTGTACCAAGTCCAAAGAGGAGAGAGAAATGAAGAAGAAATTGTGACATGATAATTCTCCATGTCTCTCTGTGTATCTCTCTAGCAAGTGCACACACTCTAAGCAGTCCAGTTTTATGATCACTATGTCCTTATTTATACATAACAATTTTTAATTTTTTAAATTATCCATATGTTTTTAAACATTCAATCACTATACCTTATTTGGCTTATAAGGAGAATTTACCCAACATGAAATACTTCTCAGACCAGTCCAGTTGAGAATACTATACATGCTAACATCAACAGGTAATAATTTTCATGTTCCACAAATGTCATGCCCCTCTATTTTTTTCCTCCTTTCCTTCTCAGCACTCTTCCCTTTTTCTAGTCCCTCCTGTTCCACACTGTCTTCAGTGTCCATAACTATTTTCACTGCTTTTATATCCTCCAATATTTTAATATCTATCATAGAATGTGGACATTTTTTTTCAAATATAAAATACATTATTAATAACTGTATTCAGCATGTGGTGAAATAGATCTCTGACATGCATTTCTACAGTCCAAGATAAACTTTGTACCTTTTGAAAAATATGTATTTTTGCCATTGGGAATTTATGCTTATCAGAGAGAGACAGAGAAAGAGAGAGGGGGAAAGTAAGTAACCACCCCCTCCCCAGGATGAATAGTCATGCCACAATATCTTCTCCTTCATTCCCCTTTCAGGACCCTGGGCATGCATGCACACATATATGGTGTGTCTCTCAAGTAGCCAGGTTTGGGACTCTAACCACAGAACTGACTATTAGATCCAACACTTCAACTGCCATGCCACCTACTTCCCCAAATTTTGTACCTTTTCACCAACATCTTCTCCTTCCTCATGTCTTTCAGTATCTCCCAGCTTATGGTAATAGCCACCTTTATATTCTCTGTTTATATGAGATAACTTTATTTAATTTCCACTTATCAGTAAGATCATAGAGTATTTATCCTTCTCTGGCTTATTTTAATTATCATGATGTAATACAACTGGACTCACATGCGAAAGGTCCTGGGTTTGAGTCCATAAATGTCCTTGAGAACACTGGCCTGCACATGTACCCACTAACCAGGCCAGCAGAGACTGGGAACAGATCACAGCTTGAAAATCCTGTTTGAATGCCTCTCTCTGCCTATTTCTCTCTCTGATGAAATAAATAAGCTTTGAAAAACAGGAAGGCTCAAAGATTTTCAAAAACTGAATGTTCTCTAAGCAGCCAGAACTCAGACTGATTTCCCTGTGGGACACTGGTATAGACCAAATTTTTTCCTATTATTTATTTATTTTTTAATTAATTAATTAATTAATTTACATTCATTCACTGAGCATAGTCAAAGCATACAAAATGTAATTTCCCATCCAGAATATACTGAACAGTGGCTTAATCATACACATTGTCATCAATAATTTCCATTTCTAGTTTTATATATATTTTCCCCCATATTTCTCATCCTCTGCCCTTACCCTCTCTCCTCCCACACTATCTCAGGTGTCTATAGTTGTTTTCTATTCCTTTTGTTCCCCACATTATATTGATTCACAAAATTTCTTAAATAACTACTCTAAATAGCAAGTTCAGCTGGTATATACCTACCTGTGAATACATGTCTGACTTCAGGAATGACACTCTGAGTAGAATGAATATAAGGTAGCAACTAGCTGTTGCTATATAGCTTACTAAAGTCATTAAATATGTATTTTTAATATATTTTTTAATTTCAAGAAAAGCAGTTTTAGCTTCAATGAATTAATTAAATGCTAAGGAAATTTGCTTAAAACTTAAAGCCAGGAAACAAGTTAAAATTCTTTTCAAATAGTAGGTACATGAACTTATCAGCAGCTCAAGACAGGACAAAAATCCTTAAAACTAGAAAACAAAGCCTAGAAGAATATTAACATATTAGAAATCAGACATGTATTCACTTTAGGCAAAAGTGATAAAATTCTATTTCACTAGTTCAGTTTCATGTACTTAATCTATCTTCTGTTGTGTTTTGATCTTCTCAATTAAATTCTGGGATATAATATTCAACTCCAGACTTGTTCCTAAATTAAGTTGGCCATTTTCTTAGGTTCTGAACTCTTATTTCTCTCTGTCCATATTTAATTTTCCCAGTATAGCACTCCCTTAAGAACTTCTTGGAGATCTGTTCTGGTGCTGGTAAATTCTTTCAGATTTTGTTTATCTGAGTATTAACTTGTCCTTTCTTCACATTTGAAGGATAATCTTCCAGGTATAGTATTCTTGGTTGAAGTTGCTTTTCCTTTAACATTTTGAATGTATTTTCCCATTTTTTCCTGGCTTGCATTGTTTCCCATGAGAGGCCCACTGTTAGCCTGATGGGATATCCTTTGTAGGTAAATTGACATTTCTCTCTTCCCAATCTTAGTATCTTGTCTTTTCTGTGGTTTTGGTCAATTTGGCTATAGTGTCTTGGAGAAGATATTCTTAGGTTGATTCTATTTGGGATCCTTTGTATTTCTTGGGACTGGATCTTTGAATGCCTCTCTAGGTTTGGAAAGTTTTTTCCAGGATTTCATGGAAGAGATTATCAATGCCCTTATGAATTCTTTGCCTTCTTGGATACCAATTATCCAGATGTTTGGACGTTTGATGATATCTAGTATTTCTCATATAATATTCTCAATCTGGGGGCAATTTTCTCAGTCTTCGTGGTGAATTTTTCTAGGCCAGCAATTCTATCCTATACATCTAAGATTTTATTTTCTGTATGGTCTACTCTGCTTTTAATACTTTCAAGAGAGATTTTGGCTTCCTGTATTATAGCATTCATCTCTAACTGTCATTTGATTCTTTTTCATAGTGTGTATTTCCTCTTTTGGTTCTGACAAAAATTTCATCATTTCCTGGAACTTGTCAGATCCTTTTTCCTACCTTTTCTGCAGTTCATTATCTTCCTCCATCTCTGTAAGCTTGGTCACTATGAATAATCTAAATTTTTTATCTGACATTTCCATGAATTTCATTGTATTGTCTGAGGATGAAGAGGAGTTATTCTTT